CCGTTTTCAGCTAGAACTATTTAGTTGACGTGTTTTGTCATTCTGGATATAAACAGAAAGGGACACACCTTAATGAACATCATGCTACGATAGACGTTTTCGATCCTGGTTGTAACTGTCAGCGATAGCATAGTCAAGAAATTAGGGTGAACAAAATAAACGAACGATGTCAACTTTATTGAGTTCTTAAAACGGCGGCTAGAGTTGCCTATTCAGTCGCTATCTACCACCATCGGACTTCCCACCACAGTCCAGCGATCCATGTCACCATAATTTATATCAGCACATCAAAGTGGTAGTCAAAGAGATAAAAGAAAGACAAATAAAGATGAACGCAGTCAAAGTAGTTGAAAACCGCGAAAAACAAAGATGGGAATGCAGAAATAGTGAAATTTACCAGGATGATTAAGATTGATGCCAGTGTTTTATTCTGACTACGTCTAATCTTTTTCAACCTGAATCTACTACAGCTAACAATATAGGATCCAGCAGACGATGATTAGGCATGTGTAAACATTCCCCAATCAACTCAGTTGACCAAGGTTAACAGCCTCATCAAGTCAACTAACTCTTTTGTCCATGACATGATGGCACCAATACACACGGCTTGTTCTACGAAGGGAACAGTGAGTGAGCAATTGAAGCCTTCGGAAGTCCTGCACTTTTAATGACCATGTTTCGGAACCATATAGTAGAAGAGAGTGACCCTGCGTACGCAATTGGATATCACGGTGGTGCACAGATGCCGTAAACTGGCGAAAGCCAATTAACTCTCCTTTGTCCATTTTGCCAGCCCTTCGACAGAGGCCGGTCAGACTTCCTAGTTAAGTGAAGTGGTCACCATGCTCAACCTTATGTCTATCTGACGCCACCTACCCAACACTTATAATTTCGGTAGATGGTGTCTGGTTGTGCCTAGCATAAGTCTTCTTCGCGACAGTTACACAACCATACTGACAAACTTCTTTCAGGCACAACAATATGTATCACAGAATCAAATACTTCAGGCAACATCTTGATCATCAAAATCACAAAAATGCATCTTTCTGACAAATGGAAATAAGCGCGAAATTATCGCCTGGTTTCTTGTCACTTATCTCCAATCAGTTAACACTAGCCTGCCCCCAAACAACAAAACTTCGATATCCCCAGCTGATAACAGATTATTCAAAATTTATCGCTTTGATAAAATGGCTCGTAGATTTTTTCTCTGAAACGAATTTCAACATAGAAAATTCAAGAAAACAAACTGTTCGGTCCCTCAAGGGGTCGTGAGTGCGCATTGGTGAGAAGTCCCATACTAGTCGCGCGAAACAGCTACTGTCCAGTGCTCCCACGTTTCCTTTATTACTCCTACTGATGTCAGTCTACAATGAATAACAACTTCAAATATTTTCAAATCTCCACAACTCCATCAAAATTCAATTGAACTGGTGCTCATTGGTGACTAACTTCGAGAGATGATTCTCGAAGTTCCAATGAGAAGTCGTGACCAGTGTGGGCAAAGACTGATTGTCGTGAGGACAGTTACTCAACGATGACATTCGGTGTTGGGGGTGGGGCTATGTGATGAGCTAACAGAAGTTGGAAATATAGACGATTGGGTTCTGACCGAGTGACTGAATGTTGAGGTGCTGTCCATGGAACCTGAAGGTGATGGGTTCAATCCGTGGAGGGCGGGCGGTCGGATTTTTGGGTGCTCACTTCTGAGGAGTCTGATACTAGTGGGTTGGGATAGCTGTCCAGTGCTCTCGAGTTTCCATTGTTCCTCCAACTGATGTCAGTCTACAATGAATCACAACTTGAAATGAAGAGAAAAATATTCCAAATTCTTAGAAGAGAATCAGTCAGTTGCCTTTCTTACTCATCGTTTCTACTCACATTTTCTCATGGATATGATGATTTTTATTTAATAGACTAAAGAGGAGAAAAAATAATTTCTAGGTGATAAACATTTAGATGGAAGAAAACTTTTGAACTATAATTATAAAAGTGTGAAATTAGGTAAAAATAATTTCATTAACTAGACAAAAGAGGAGAAGAGAAATAAGTCAAAGTTGAAATATCAACGAAAAAGCCTGTTGAAACTTTCGTCAAGAGAAAAGATGGGATGAAGAAAAAAGGAGTGAAAGAAAGAAGAAATCTACAGCTAAATTTCTTTACATATGTTATACAAATAGCCAAGAAAGTATGGAGTGATGATGGATAAAAGGAATCAAGTTAAGTGAAGATCGATGGATAGATATGCAAAACAGTTTTGTATTGCTGTTCGCCTTTTTCAAAATTCAGAAATCCCACTTTATTTCATTCAATTGAACAATGAACTTCATATGTCTGTATAAAAAGATTGCTTAATTCGACATCATTTTCAATTAGGTTAACTTTCACTCAATAGATACATATAGTGTCTAAAAGTGACATAGTAGTATACAAATGTGTTGTACATGGTTACTTGATTTCCATTAAGAGGAGAAACAACTGCACATTTGGCTGAATTATATGTAGAGTTTATACGTCGTATCATATCGTATCCCACATAGTAGACAGACAAGACATATTTCATGAAGGCAGACGAGGGATTGGAGAAATTTGAAGCCAGTATTCACGTTGATTTCACAGGTAATAGCGCAGCAGAGATCCCGAAACGTTGACCATCAGTATAGAATAAGAAGATATTGTTCTCTGAGAAGCTACAGATCAGTTTCTCTAGTCTGCGATTAGTTCCATCGTATATTGAGAACAATTTACCTTCTTGGCCTACCTCAGTGTATGTCTATAAATTTACTCAGTCATTTCAAGGTAGTTTCAAACCACTATTGTAGAAGGTATGGAAGGAAAGAAAGGTACCTGCTGGTGGATTGGAAGAACGGCTACCTTGTCAAACCCGCAAAAAGGGCGACCTAAGTCTTTCCAATAACTCGCGAGGAATCATGCCTTACCTCAACTTCACTGACTTTGGGAAGACCTATGACAGCGTCGACCGAGAAGCAATTTGGCAACTCGTTTAACACTACGGAATACCATGAACCTTTATCAATCTCATTCAACAAGTATATGAAGACGCCACATGCCAAGTAATTCACAATGGAAAGCTCAAGACTCCTTTGAGGTGAAGACAGGAGTAAGACAAGGTTAACGCATACTGTCACCGATGATAATCCTGATTATGGAAGACTGGATCATGCAGCAAACAGTGAGAAGCGCGAAGATGGGGATACGCTGAACCAGGCAAACGATCCTAGAAGATTTGTATTTCGCCACTAACGATTTATGTTTAATGTCACACAAACTTGAAGATCTCAAGGCGAAAACTAGCAAGTTGACAGGAGAGGCGAGGCGAATCAGTGAAGGAAGACAGGACTTCAACTGAATGCAGAGAATTCAGAGGTGATGAAGCTACTCAACCAACAATAACAACAGCGACAACAACAAATGCAAATCACCATCAACGAGAGAAACTCAAAGGTAGTTGCCTCTTTCACATACCATCGAGGCAGCACTGCTTCAACTACACGTCGCGGCACAGACCAGCACGTCAAAGCCAACCAGGATAAGAAAAGCAAGACAGGCGTTCATTAACCTGAAACCAGTGTGGAGATCTTCACTACACTCCACTCCACTCCACTCAGCATAAAGCGTCAACAACATCCAGATTTTCAACACCAACGTCAGTCAAGTCAGTACTCCCATGTGATGGTTGAGACACTTGGCGCATTATGAACAGCATTTCCAACAAACTACACACATTCTTCAACAAATGCCACCTACGCTCACTCAATACTGACACTGAAGCTGAGATGGAGAGAAGAATAAGAATAAGCAACAAGGAACAAGGAACTCACTGTGACTGGTGACGAACCAACGAAATAAGAACTTATCACTCGAAAAATATGGAGGGCGAGAAAGTGGAGATGGATTGTGCATGCGCTGAGATGACCATTTGGGGACATCACGTGTCAGGCCAGGCACTTGAATGGAAGCCAGATGGTAAACGACGAGTTGGGTGTCGGAGGAGATGGTTCTATGGAGGAGATGGTGTGAGGAATTAGTGAGAGCTACTGGTGAGTCATGGAGCTAGATTTAAGAGATTGCAGAGAAGAGAGTGGAATGGCGACGTGCTACTGGAGCCATATGTTCTATTAAGAACTTAAGGGACAAATAATAATAATAATAATAATAATTAGAAGCGACGGGATAGATGAACATGGACATGGTCAATTAGTGAGGAATGAAAACTGTGTTCAGTAGATAAATTTTGCTTAGGTAACCTTGTTTTTGTTTACTACAGGTGAGTATGTAAGTTTAAAACAGTAAGACGTTTCATACAGCCAACACTCCAACTCCAATGACAAGTCGTGACCGGTGGAGTCATGCCTGATGGCCGTGAGGATAAATACTCAACGATGACATTGGGTGGCGGTTTGCGCTATATATCGTGAGCTAACAGAAGTTGGAAATATGGAGCATTGGATTCTGACCCAGTGGCTCAATGGTAACGCGCTGGTCGCGGAACCTGAAGGTGGCGGGTTCGATCCCTGCTGGTGGGGTCGTGGGTGCGCACTGCTGAGGAGTCCCATACTAGGATGAAACAGCTGTCCAGTGCTCCCAGGTTTCCTTTGTTCCTCCAACTGATGTCAGTCTTCGATGAATAACAACTTGAACTACAAGAATCAAATAGTTGACATTATGTCGAGGGAGGGATAGGTAAATGTTTCTATTAAAAGAGATTGACACATACTTAAAACACTAACACGGTATGGTTATTCGAACGTCTGTTATAATTCAAAGAAGTACGTTTTAAAACCAACCTATATACTTAACCCAATTCAATCTTTAGAGAAAACTAGTTTACACAACTGATGGATGATATATAAAAGGATGAAGAGTATTCAGGATATTCAGAGAATCTTGGTGTTTGTTAGCCAATGATAACTTAACACACTTTATCAATTTTACGTCTATAAATATAAAATAAAATTAGAGAAAAAAAAACAACCTACTTCTGCCTTAATTCTCTATCGAATATAACATTTGTATAAATACTTCCATCCAATTGATTAATACTGAAATATTCATTGATATCAATGCTAAGTCGATATTCAATCTCAGAATTCTTTTCACTGTCTACATCTGTTGCAATCACCTTGTTTACAAAAGTATTCACTGGACTATTTTCTTGTACTACAAACTGAAAAAAAAAAACAACAAAACAAAATTGAAAATAAAAGTGGAGGATGTTTCAAGGTCGGCACTACCAATATTCTCTCAGTGATACTCGAAATCTAGAGGGTGTTTATTGTTCCAATATGGTCGTGCCCACAAAGCTGAACCCTCATTGGTCGTTAATTATATTTATCTATATATGGAATCAGTGTTTCTCAAGGTCATCTAGAAATGTATATATTCAGCATCGCTGTCACCTCTATTGACTATGATTACTATTTATTGACAAACTTGTTATTCTCCGTTGTTTTATTGAATCGAATTGTTCAACCTCTATTGGCATATGGGCTTCTATAAGGATGCCTCGAGATTATATTATTATTATTAGTCTTTTGGGTTCCTAGTGGAACACAGGCTTCAGTAGCACGTCTCCAGTGACCTCTGTTCTCTGAGATCTTTCGAACCTGGTTCCACGACAGCCCAGAAGCTCTCATTTCCTCCTCGCACCATCTCCTCCATGTCACCCTCACCACGGACGTCCAACTCGTCGCTCCCCATGAGGATTCCACTCGAGTACCTGGCCTGACGCGTTATGTCCCCAGTTGGCCTTCTCAGTGCATGCCCAATCCATCTCCACTTCCTCCTGCATATTTGTTGTGTGATAGGTTCTTGGTTGGTTCGTTCCCAGAGCTCCTGGCCATCTGATCTTCACTAGCGAGCTGTCTCGAGATTGCCTGAGTGTTAATTGTGATAATTTGGTTGGCTGTGACTAGCCAATAAAGGTAGAACAATTCGATGCAACAAAACAACGGAGAACAACAAGTATATGAACAAAAAGCAATAACCACTACCCATTGTGCAAGGAGTTGTTATCGTTACTCCATGGCATACTGAATAATGCCTAGGCGTTTGATGCGATGTGTGCGAGGTTTGAGTCCTTGTGAGAACAACATCACTCGGGTGCAGGTACATCCATCTAACGAGTCCCAAGTAGGACGAAACGGGTATCCTGGATTCTTCTGCTAGCCACAACCAACCGAATGTATTGACTATTGTTGAGACAGTAAAAGCTCTCTGTCAACGACCTTTCTTCTCATCATGTCTTTGCGTGTTGGTGAAATTCTTGTTGCGGTGGTTGACGTTCTTACTTGCATTAGAGTTGATTCGTATACACGTTAGGTTCCTATCCTTCATAGTCTGATAGGCGCATATCACTCTTAGACTGTTACGTTGTAATACTAGTCATAGAAGCAGCCATCATCCAGTGATATCCGCCAGTATTTTTCACCCTGTCGGACTTTGTTGACTCGAAAGGTTGTCGGACTATATCGTGAAGTGACAGAAGCAGGTAAGTATAGACTGCTGGATTCAAATCCAGTGTCTCGGTGGTAATGACCTCGTCACAAACCGTGACCTTCCACCTTTCAATCTCTGGCAGAGTCAAGGAACACGCTATTGAAGAGTCCTACACTGGGACGAATATTCTGCCCAGCATTTATAAGTTCTAAGTGATTCCCCAATTGATGTCAATCTATTATTATTATTTGTCCCTTGGCTCCCTTGTCGAACATAGGGCTTCAATAGCACATCTCCATCCCCCACTCTCTTCTCTGCAATCTCTTAAATCTAGCTCCATGACTCACCAGTAGCTCTCACTAATTCCTCACACCATCTCCTCCATGGAACCATCTCCTCCGACACCCAACTCGTCATTTACCATCTGGCTTCCATTCAAGTGCCTGGCTTGACACGTGATGTCCCCAAATGGTCATCTCAGCGCATGCCCAATCCATCTCCACTTTCTCACCCTCCATATTTGTAGAGTGATAAGTTCTTATTTCGTTGGTTCGTCACCAGCCACGGTGAGTTCCTTGTTCCTTGTTGCTTATTCTTATTCTTCTCGCCATCTCAGCTTCATTGTCAGTATTGAGTGAGCGTAGGTGGCGGCATTTGTTGAAGAATATGTGTAGTTTATTGGAAATGCTGTTCATAATGCGCCAAGTGTCTCAACCATCACATGGGAGTACTGACTTGACTGACGTTGGTGTTGAAAATCTGGATGTTGTTGACACTTTATGCTGAGTGGAGTGGAGTGGAGTGGAGTGGAGAAGATCTCCACACTGCTTTCAGATTAATGAACGCCTGTCTTGCTTTTCTTATCCTGGTTGGCTTTGACGTGCTGGTCTGTGCCGCGACGTGTAGTTGAAGCAGTGCTGCCTCGATGGTATGTGAAAGAGGCAACTTCCTTTGAGTTTCTCTCGTTGATGGTGATTGTTGCTTGCTGTTGTTATTGATGGTGGTGGCGTTGGTTGGCTATCTTCATCACTTCTATGACTTCGGTTAAAACATTAAATTTTCATAATGTCAGTGTTTGTTTATGGGGAAATGAAGAGTAACAGGTTGCACCAGATAGACACAAGTGACTTAAGAAAGACACGCTTCAATGTGTCAATATCTCAAGTGATTTAGGTGTACAAACATAATCACAAGATTTCTGAATAAACTTTTTTGCTACTGAAAAATGATTGAAAGCCTTCCACAGCACCATTTGTTTAAATCGTTAAACAAATGCATTGAATAATTTTGAAATATCCACCTGTTGAACACTGATCAATTGAAGAATAAAACTGTTTGACTGCGATACAAGTTAGTTTAAATTGTCAGTCTTTTTATGACTTCTTACTTGTCTAAGAGGAAGTGGTGTAATGTATAAAAGACTTCTTAATTAGATGTATATTGAATAATTTACCAAAAGCTGAATGAATTTTTTTACAGTATTGTATTAACAAAATTTAATCGAACATATGTCATGCTTTCATATGTACCTCATGTTATTAGATTATAGCTGGATATAGTGATGTCTGTTTGGTGCTTAGCAAGGGAATCCAAGATGCGCGTTTCGTCCTTTATGGGACTCGTCAGATTGATATGTCTGCCCATGAGTAGTGATATTGTTTCCACTGAGACATGAACCCATTATACATCTTTTCAAACGCCAAAGTGTTATCCACTAGGCTAATGGGGTACGAGAGACAATAATATCAGTCTCAGAGGGGACGACATCACTCACTTAGCTGTAAGTACATCAAGCTGATGAGTCCCGGATCGGACGAAACGTGCGTCCTGGATTCACCTGCTAGCCATCCAACATACATCAACATAATTACTAATCAGGCAGCATTAGGGCATCGGCATAACAGCCCATCTGCTAACAGAGGTCGAGCAACTTGAGCCAGTATCGTAACGGGAGATAGTTGAAAAAATGTTCAACTGTCAGAGGGGTGATCATGTCAACTGTATAAAGTGTAAGTTAACCAATCAATTCATTTCGAAGGTCTGTGTCGAATCTATTGATTTCTTCAGGTATCTACGAAAGCACTGAAAACCTGAGTGGACTGAGCAGACACTTCTTCTTAGTTTCAAACTGTTCATTATGGTCCAGTTCCTTCCATTATGAACAGTTGAATTTGAGTGATCTCTTCAAACCTGACTAACTTTGAAGACGTTTTCATCTTCAAAAATTCCTAGGACTCTATCAATGTTCGCTTTTTTCAATGCATATCAACCTATTTTAGGAATGCGCTGCATAATTTGCTGGTAATTTAACTGCCGAAATCCTTTGGAGTGATAGTTGTGTTATTTGGCTACTCGTGATTTTCACCATCTGACGTTTTTTTCTACTGCTTCTCCAGTATTCCTTGGCCTGATGCAATATAGGCATGGTATCAACGTTACAGAATTCAGTGTTCTGCTCCAAATTGGAAATAATAACAGCTGGTGGGTAACTTGGTATACACTGATCAAATTAAGGGTAGTATAGTGTAATCCTGATCGAACTTGTTCTATAAGTATCCTTTTTTTCCCTCGTGGTCTTGAGGATTTTAACCCATCCATCAGTGAAGTTATTGTCTGAAGCTTTTCTCAGTTTATCAGCCATTGAAGGAGATGGTACATTGGACAAGTGTCTAATCTTCCTTCTATACCTGTTAGCATTGGGCTTAAAATTGTTTCCTGTGGTTATATTTTCAACCCATTGAAAATTTTCCAATCAGTATTCGTCGGTTTTTGCGAATAGTTTATCAACATGGCTAAGATTGTGGTGTTGATGATGATAGACACCATAATCATTGTTAGTATTTCAATCAACATTCACCACAGTGAAGCTGTTATTCTTGTCTTCATTCTGATCAAAATGAAGCGTAGTTTGAATAGCACTTTTCTTCGAACGACTTAGCTTAATAGAAATCTCAATACACAAACACCCACGCTTATTTTTGCTTCATTGAAATGTATTCGGTTGACCAATTAAAAATTAGGAATTTCCTGTCATTCTATTGGCTAGTTTTAAGTCGTATGACTCAGTATATATATATATATATATATATATATATATATATTGTCAGGTGAGCTCCTATGCCGATCCACGATGCACGTTTCGTTCTATTTACGACTCATTGTCTAGATGTGCCTGCTTTGGCGTTTGAAGAGATGAGCAGTGCCTTTGAGTATCATTGGGAACAACATCAACCACTTACAGGCAGGTAAATCCAGCTGACGAGCTTCAGATAAATCGAAAGTTTGCCAGTCATCACTAGGGAACTCAAACCAGTGCCTTTCGCATTACCTTCCAGGCGTTGTATGAAACTAACCTCAAAATTCAACTGCTAACCATCTTTCAACTTGACCTTATTCAATGACTACGTTTTTCAGTTGTTATGAGAAATGAGTGATTCGTAACTGTCTATTTATCTTTACCACACTTTTTGTTCATCTGAAAGTAATTTGAACTTATTCGAAGAGAAATAGTACGTGATTGGTTGTTAGCTGGATTGTCTAGAGATTCGCTGATTGGTTCTTCTTATTCAGCTTAATTTAAATCTACGCGTGAGTAGCCAATCAAATAGCTGGTCTGATATTATTAGATAGATAACTTTATAAGACTCATTTACATGATAATCAGGAGAAATGAAGACTTAGTGAATAATCAGGCCTTTAGACTCAATCGATAAACCAAACGAAACGTCACCGAGATGCCATTGGTTCGAAAGCAATGGTGGTTCAGGCTTTTATTTCACTTCAAATGAAATAAACTTTGTTAATCAATACTATTTCTGCTTACATTGTAATAATCTCGTGAAAACACTGGTGGATTATCGTTTACATCTTGAACAAACACCTTGATCACATGACTGGAGGTAAGACTTGGTTCACCGTTATCGATGCAGACGATCTATAAAATTATGAGAAAGAAGAGGAATATTATTATTATATGGAAAAAAGTCTACTTGAAATTAAAACTCTTGAAAAATCAATCGAATATTCTTGGAGTACATCATACACAAACAAGGTTATTTTGGAGTACTTGGCTTTCAGAAATATACCACACATGTCCAACTGTAGATTGCGTCAGCCAATGTGGCAACCAAGCTAGGAAGCTTAGCATTGTGGTGCACATTAGTAGATGTTAATTGGTTGGAGGCAATTGCCAGGAAGCCCTGTACCTAAGTTTCTCCCGTTTTGGCACTCATCAGCAAGACGTATCTGCAATTTCGACGGAACTGATGTCCAGCCTGAGATTCCAACCCGCGTCACCAAGTGTTGTAATCAGCGAATTTACCACTGAGCTATTCGGGCCGCGATTGACCTCCTGTAGGATTGGCTTACATGTATTGTTTGGTCACGGGAGTGCAATCAACTTCATGTTGTCTAGTCTTGAGTGCAGACCGAATTCTATCGATCATATTTGCTATGTGGTAAACAGAACATTATTGAGATGCTGTTTAAAACTTGGACTTTTGAAGCTGTGTATCTACATGTGAGTATCACTCGAAACTTCAGAATTTTCATTAGACATCATTAGACTAACAGTGAATTCGATAACCCCTGGGGTTATCTCCACGATCGACAGTCTGACCTACAAAGTATGACTTCAAGAGCTGAACCACCTTATCTTATTATTGTATCTCAGATAGGGAGGAGAGGTAATTATTTTTAGATAGAATTTTAAGGAAACACTTTCAATCTGACCTCTCTTCGCTTTTGTGTTCATTCAGGTTGAAATATCGCAAAGGAAATAGCAGGAGAGTACGAAACCAAATGATAAATGTCTTCTTTATAAAGTACTGGTTTCCGCATCAAGTTATCTGCTCCTGACACCGAATGGCTCATCCGATCACAGAGATCTACAGAAAAATGACCCATCCCGTCTCATAACCATTAGGCCACACTGTAAAAATCTCATAGTATCCATGAGTTAAATTATTCTATTTGAATCTGATGAATATAAACAAAGTAAGTACTGATTTCAGTAGTGTTAGGTAATAAGGTCCAATTTGTAAATTTGCGGTATCGTCATTCATATCTGTTGAATCGGTTAGTAATTAGGAGTAGACCCTGGACCAGGGAAAAGATCCTGGAAGATTTAGATTTCGCCAACGCTTACTTGTGTCTAGTGTCGCACAGACTTGAAGATTTACAGGTAAAACTGACAAGTTGACAGAAGAGATGAGCCAGCGAAGTCGAGAACTCAAGTGAATGTAGACAATTCAGAGGTGATGAAGATACTCAAACAACAACAACAACAAGCTTCAATCACCATCAACGAGAGAAACTAAAAGGAAGTTGCCTCTCTCACCTACCCATCTATCTAAGTAGCACTGCTTCAACTACACGTCGCGGCACAGACCAGCACGTCAAAGCCAACCACCATCGGAAAAGCAAGACAGGCGTTCATTAATCTGAAACCAGTGTGGAGATCTTCTCCACTCCACTGCACTCCACTCAGCAAAAAGCGTGAACAACACATGGATTTTCAACACCAACGTCAGTCAAGTCAGTGATTCCATGTGATGGTTGAGAGACTTGGCGCATTACGAACAGCATTTCCAACAAACTACATATATTCTTCAACAAATGCCGCCACCTACACTGGCTCAGTGCTGACACTGAAGCTGAGATGGCGAGAAGAATACGAATGAGCAACAAGGAACTCACCGTTACTGGTGACGAACCAACGAAATAAGAACTTATCACTCGAAAAATATGTAGGGTGAGAAAGTGGAGATGGATTGTGCATGCGCTGAGAAGACCATTTGGGGACATCACGTGTCAGGCCAAGCAGTTGAGTGGAAGCCAAATAGTAAACGGCGAGTTAGGCGTTCGAGAGTGACGTTGTGGAAATGGTGTGAGGAATCAATAGGATATTGTGGGCAGTCGTTGTGCGAGATTCAAAAGATTGCAGAGAACAGAGTAAAGTGGTGACGGGCTACTGAAGCCCTATGTTCCATTAAGAACCCAAAAGAAAAATAATAATGGCGAAATTGGTTATTTCGCATTGATCAACTAAGATATCTAATCCATTCCTAGAGGAGATCAATCATGATCGAAATAGCTAAGTTACAGTGTCTTTGAATGCAGGATTGGGTGAACTTTATGAAGGGTGGGGAGGTGGTTCGAAGGGGACACCATTCCTCTGGAAGTTCCACATCTGTGTTACTGATGAATGCCAACAAACAATAATCTTATGTAGTTTACTGCTTTCCTGCAGTTGCCTGTCATCAGCTAGGGTGTGTGTCACCTTAACATACAAATTTATATCTCTCTCGTCTCCCTTTTACTCAGTGGTCAGTATTTATGTTTATTCTTGTAACTATCAACTTAAACAAAACTATCTCAGAGAATAGACCAGTAAAAGAGTCTATGCAGTCTAAGTTGATGTTCAAGTTGTAACTAAACTTCAAACAGGGTCAATCATAACTTTATGTAGGAATCTTCATTCTAGAAAACCTTCCCAATAGTGACAAACTGTTCAGTACTGTGTAACAAGTTAGTCAAGTGCCCATTACGTACATCATCTCACACTCAAGTTGTCAATTAGCTCAAAGAAGTAGGTACTTTGAACGTTAGCGTCTACACGCTTCTCTGAACCTATTTCAAGGTATTTAGACATCAAAATGGATAAAATATTTCAATAGTTTCAATGTACTACCAATCTGGTTCATTTTGGAGAGGTCACTGAAATCAGATGATTAAAAGGTGACTTTTAGATTTAGAAGGAATCATCGATCAGCTTCCAGTTGGTTTAGTAACAATCTGAGTAATTACCTTTTTACTTACTACATTTCCAATTCACTACAAAGATTAGATATCAGGCACAACTTTTGTTCCTCTATGAGTTGTTAAATCCTGGAACATTCTTCTTCCACATGTGATACAAGCTACTTTGTCTGAATTCTTTACACGTGGACTGGATACTTATGATGATATATGGCTTGGATCCGCCTAGAACTAAATGAATTTTCACATTTGAACGATCACTTTTCTCTTTTTCCGTTACTTGTGCACAGGTTGACAATCACAAGAAGTAGTCATTCAGGGATTTTAGACACGGAAGCCAGTTAACCGAAAGTTTCTTCTGTTCTGTCAACAACCATTTGAACCATTTGAACATTATAGTTCTCATTAACTGGTAATTCAAGGGTAGCCAACTTTATGTTGTCTAGTCGTACATGATACAACCGAAGGAATCGGTTTACATCTTAGTTAGAAAGGAAAATCAATTTTGTTGAGGTTTTAGGTACGTGTTAGTTAGAAGTGTCAGAAGACACAAAACCTCGCTTGACCAGGAAGGACTTTCTACCGATTCCCTTGATCCATTGAATTTTAAGGGAGTTGTGGAGATTTTGAAGTATTTCAAATTGTTACTCATCATAGATTGACATCAATTGGAAGAACAAAGGAAACTTGACAGCACTGGACAGCTGTCCCAGCACACTAGTATCAGACTCCTCAGAAGTGAGCACCCACAAATCCGCCCGCCCGCCCTCCACCGATTGAACCCACCACCTTCAGGTTCCATGGACAGCACCTCAACATTCAGCCACTCGGTCACAATCTAATCGTCTATATTTCCAACTTCTATTGGTTCATGATATAGCCCCACCCCCAACACCGAATGTCATGGCTGAACTTCGAGAATCATCTCTCGAAGTTAGTCACGAATGAGCACCAGTTCAACTGAAATTTGAGGGAGTTGTGTAGATTTGGAAATATTTGAAGTTGTTATTCATTGTAGACTGACATTAGTAGGAGTAATAAAGGAAACCTGGGAACACTGGACAGCTGATTTGTCCTTTGTTCCTCCAACTGATATCAGTCTACAATGAATAACAACTTCAAATATTTCCAAATCTCCGCAACTCCATCAAAATTCAATTGAACTGGTGCTCATTCGTGACTAGATTCGAGAGGTGATTCTCGAAGTTCCAATGAGAAGTCGTGACCAGTAGGGATAAAATCTGACTGTCATGAGAACAGTTACTCAACCATTACATTCGGCGTTGTGGGTGGGGCTATGTCATGAGCTAATAGAAGTTGGAAATATAGACGATTAGATTGTGACCGAGTGACTGAATGTTGAGGTGCTGTCCATGGAACCTGAAGGTGGTGGGTTCGATCCCTGGAGGGCGGTTTTGTGGGTGCTCACTTCTGAGGAGTCTGATACTAGTGAGCAGGGACAGCTATCCAGTGCTCTCGAGTTTCCTTTGTTCCTGCAACTGATGTCATACAATCTGCTTAAATTTCTTTTCTGTATTGCGTAATTGTAATTTCAACTGTATCCTATGCATATAACTTTAGTTGACCCACTGATTTTGTGAAAAAATCTGCCTGATTATTTTGGCTTACATATTATTTGCCGACTACTTTGTCACCATATGAGTGTTTGATTTTCAATTATGTTGGTAATCATGCTAACTTACAATTTTCTCATACTATACCACGTCTAACGTAATTAAGCGCAATAAATATTCAAGTTTATACACAATAGAGAAAAGCAGTTTAAACGACCTTGAATTAAGACTTACTTTAGCCCATTCTGATTGGCTGAATTCATAATCAAATCCACCAATAGTAATTAACTCAAAATTAACACTGGATATTGGATTCAGTTGAAATGGACCAATCATAGAAGTTTGACTGTTGCTAATTGTTGCCGATTGCAGATTATGTTCCTCAGCTGTAGTATGATGTATGGTGGGATAGAAAAGTCTTTCTAATCGTTGCATTTCTTTAAGTGAAGACGTCTGTGATGTTTGGTGATGAACTTTGTGATTGACATTACTTGTAGTCATTGGTTCTAAATAGCATTGGAAACTGCCACCAGGACCAGTATCTGGATCACTGACCACTACAAATGCCAATAGTTGTGTTATTGTTGACAATGAAATGTCTTCTGTATTGTAAGCATCGAAATTTTTGCTTAATTGACGATTAATTCCACTCTGTCCTGGTGTTTCATTGATATATACCTGTAATACATTGTTCCTTTCCTCACTGTCATCACTGGATTTCTTTGAAGTTATCCCATTGACTGATTCCACTGTGATTTGAGGGGGGACATCGTTTACATCAGTTACAAATATGCTTACAATAGCTTCATCAAATCCTGGATGACCAGATTGATCATGAGCAAGTACACGAATAAGATGATGCTTAGATTGTTCATAATCTAATCTTGCACGTGTACTCAACCAACCGGTTTTTGGATCGATTTCAAACAAGCCCCTTCTTGCACTACTACTACTACTGTTCTTATTGTTTTTAGTAGTAGTAGTAGTAGTAGTAATAGTAGGAGTGTCGATGGGTTTATTACTTTTGCCCACAATGGAGGTGTTATACGCATTATGTTGAATTTGATGATGGGGATTGTCATTATTGGCAAGTGGTAAACCTTTCATATTATTCGACAAGTGTTCTCCGTCAATACTCACTATACTGTAAACAATTTGACCAGATAACCCATCGTCTGGATCATCTGCAATCAGTTGTATTAAACGTAAGCCTTCAGGTGAATTCTCTGGTACATAGACAACAAGACTTTTATTTCGAAATACTGGATGATTATCATTTTCATCTGTCACAATGATCTGTGTGTGTGTGTAGGGGAAGAAGAAGAAAAGCGGACACTGAATTGCTGGTTTTTTTTTAGAAAGCACAAAAAATGTTTAGAAAAAGGTTATTTTCCTAAATGGTGGTTCAACTGTGTCATTGTTGCATAGCTTAGTTCAAGTTTTTAACCTTTGGCTTTGTGCTGATAGGGATGTGAAGAGACTGTGATCAAAGTGAACAAGACAATAGTAACCAACGGTTGATAACTTTTGATGACATCACACTGTTGTCTACCATAATCCACCTGTTCCCTTCTATATATTTTGGCAACTTGTGCAAAGTTCTACTTTGATTTATCCATCTAGACATCTTCAGCAAAGTAATTTGGCAGTTGCTTCAACACTACGGAATACTACAAACCTATATCAACCTCATTCAACAACTATATGAAGATGCTACATGCTAAGTAATTCACAGCGGGAAGCTCAGTGATGCTTTTGAAGTGAAGATAAGAGTGAAACAGGGCTGTCTACTATCACCCATGATATTCCTGATTGCGGTCGACTGGATCATTCAGCAAACAGCGAGGAGCGAGAAGAAGGGGGTACGCTGGGCCGGGGAAAAGATCCTAGAAGAAGATAAGGGTTTCGCCACCGATTTAATGTCACACAAACTCGAAAATCTACAGGAGAGAGCTAACAAGTTGACAGAAGAGGTGACCCAGCGAAGTCGAGAACTCAAGTGAATGTAGACAATTCAGAGGTGATGAAGATACCCAAACAACAACACCATCAATCACAAGTACCAATCACCATGAACGGAAGAAACTCAAAGGTAGTTGTCTCGTTCAACTATCTAGGCAGCACTGTTTCAATTACACGTCGCAGCACAGACCAGCACGTCAAAGCCAACCACCATCGGAAAAGCAAAAGTGGCATTCATCAACGTGAAACCAATGTGAAGATCTAATGCACTCCACTCCACTCAGCATAAAGCCTGAATAACATCCGAATTTTCAACACCTACATCAGTCAAGTCAGTGATTCCATGTGATGGTTGAGAGACTTGGAGCATTAGGAACAGCATTTCCAACAAACTTCAGATATTCATCAACAAATGCCGCCACCTACTCTGGCTCAATACTGACACTGAAGCTGAGATGGAGAGAAGAATAAGAATAAGCAACAAGGAACTCAATTTGGCTGGCGACGAATCAATATAGCAAGAACCTATCACTCGAAAAATATGTAGGGTGGGAAAGTGGAGATGGATTGGGCATGCTATGAGAAGACGGTTCTAGGATATCACGTTCCAGTCCAGGTACTCGAGTTGAAGTCGAAGGAGGAACGACGAGTTGGGCGTCCGAGGTGAGGGTGATATTGTGGAGATGATGTGAGGAAGAAGTGAGAGCTTCTGGGCTGTTGTTGAGCGAGGTTGAAAAGATTGCAGAAAAGAGAGTGGGATGGAGACGTGCAACTGAAGCTGTATGTTCCACTAGGAACTCAAGGGATAAATAATAATAATAATAATGATCAGAAGACATTATATCCCTTTACATGTGTGTATAAACTGATCTTTATTGTATGAAATTTAGTATTTCGATCGAACATGCCTCGATTTAACTTGGGCAAATGTTCATTGTTATTTTCAAGGTTATCACCTTAATTTTCAAAGGAATAACTATTTTTCATTTTATTCTCTTGAAGATCAAATAAAAGTCAACAACATATAAGTTTTTTTCTTTTGAAAAAATAAACAAACTGGTTTTTTTTTCTCCAAAGAATACTTTGAGGTTATACTATAAGTGACAAAACAGTATTTCAATACTTAGAGGGGAATGGCCTTAGATGAACAGATAATAAACCTATGAAGTCTAGATAACACTTTTGAAAATATAATAACCAAGTTAATTAAATTGAACATTGAATAGATGAGCTATCTCACACAGGAGAATAATGATGAACTCGCCTATCATAATACTGATAGGGTTAAATTCAAACTGCCCAGCACATGTAAGCACATACTGGAACAATTTCCAGTTATATGTAAGCAGTACAGTTATCATATGTCAAGGTGTCCATCGTTGAATGCAGTTGGAAATTGTATACTTTCCAATGATAAATTAGTGTATTTAATTCAGTCATTGCAGAAGATCAACTAAAGCTGGAATGCCTCAAAGGTAACATCTCTGACTACACCACTTGGGTGATACGGGTTCGAATCTCAGAAAAGAGGCATCAGTTCTATTGATGTTGAAAACATATCTTGCTGATTAGAGTCACCAAACATGAAACTTGAGTCTGTTACAGGTTTATAACGATTACCACAACCTTTCATTTCTTCTTAACACCATCTCCTCCTTGTTATCTTCGCCTCCAACGTCCAACTAGTCGTTTCTCATTTCGCTTTCACTCAAGGGCCTGGCTTGGTGCGTAAAATCCGTTAACGGTCTTCTCAGTGTATGTCCAATTCAATCCATCTCCACCTTCGTCTGGATATTTGTTGGGCGGAGGGTTCCTCGTCGGCTGGTTCGTTACCAGCCCAAGTAACTTCCTTGTTGCTTATTCTTATTATTCTGGCCATCTAATCGATCTTCAGTATTGAGTTAGCGTGGGCGGCAGCTGGTCATGATGTATGTGTGCAGTTTGTTGAAAATGTTTTTCATAACGTGCCAAATCTGTCATTCATCAAATAGAATCACTGACCTGACTGACATTAGTGTTGAAAATCCGGATCTTGTTCATGTTTTATGCTGAGTGGAATGAAGTGGAGTGATTTCAAATTATTGGAGGCCTGTCTTTCTGTCTCTCCGATTCTGGCTTTGACATCCTCATCTGTGCCGTCGCGTGTAGTTGACAGAATGCTGCCTAGTTGGTAGGGGAAAGAGAGAACTTCCCCTAGATCCCTCCCGTTGATGGTGATCGGTGCTTGTTGTTGGTTGGGTATCTTCATCACTTCTGTCTTCTCTACGTTCATCTGAAGGAAGTGCTGTCTTCCTTTGCTGCCTCGCATCTTCTGCCAACTTGTTAGTTTTCGCCTGTAGATCTCCAAGTTTGTGGGACATTAGACATTAGACATAAATCATGATCACTTAAACCCAAATCTTCCTTTGGGGTTTTTTCGTCAATCAAACAGCGTATGCGCATCTTCTTGCTCTTCATAGTTGTCTGTTGCATGATCTAGTCGAGTCGACTACAGTTAGGAAGATCATCAGTGATAGTAGACAACCTTGTCTTACTTTTTTCACCGCTATGCTCCTCTTAATCATCCTGAAGGGATCAGCATATTCTGTCAATTCTGTGTTAGCTACATGGTGAACTGATTTTGTTCTGTGTTTATTGTTTTTGTCCTCCTATTTTTTTCTTAATTTGTGTAATTGTGTGCGCCCCTGAAATGTGAGTTCAGACTTGAAGAAATTTATTGAGCATGGTAATTATGACTAGTGGCTAGACGAAGAGCGTATGACGCACGTTATATCCTATTTTGGATTTATCAAGTGGATGTACCTGCCTACTGATGAAGGATGTTACTCTCGATAAAGCAACAACCAAGGACCAATCACTTGAAACATCAGAGAGTCATCTGTTTGTCCATTGAATCATGACAGCCACTTCTTATGCCATAGATATAATTAATTTTATGTTAATGCTTATAACTATACGTTGTTTTTAGAACTGAGAAGCAGATATGTTCAGTTAACGAGACCGAGATAAGATGAAACATGAGTTCTAGATTTCGCTGCTAGCCGCTATTCATCATTATTATTGAACAGGAAACTTGTAAGTCTCACGTGATTGGTCAGACAACAAGGCATTTGTTAATATTATTATTTGTCCCTTGGGTTCCTAATAGAACATAGGGCTTCAGTAGCACGTCTCCATCCCACTCTCTTCTCTGAAATCTTTCGAACTTGGCACCACGACTGCTCATAACTCGACGTTTCCCATTCGGATTCCATTCAAGTGCCTGGACTGGCACGTGATGTCTTCAAATGGTCATCTCAGCGCATGCCCAATCCATCTCCTCCATATTTGTAGAGCGATAGGTTCTTGCCTCGTTGATGCGTCGCCAGCCAGATTGAGTTCCTTGTTGCTTATTCTTATTCCTCCCGCCATCTCAGCTTCAGTGTCAGTATTTAGTGAGCGTAGGTGGCATTTGTTGATGAATATGTGTAGTTTGTTGGAAATACTGTTCGTAATGCGCCAAGTGTCACAACCATCACATGGGAGCACTGACTTGACTGATGTAGGTGTTGAAAATTCGGATGTTGTTGACGCCTTATACTGAGTGGAGTGGAGTGGAGTGAAGAAGATCTCCACACTGGTTTCAGATTTATGAACGCCTGTCTTGCTTTTCCGATGGTGGTTGGCTTTGACGTGCTCGTTTGTGCCACCACGTCAACATTCACTTGAGTTCCGACTTCTCTGGCTCATCTCTTCCGTCAACTTGTCAGTTTTTGCCTGTAGATCTTCAGGTTTGTGTGACATTGGTCACAAGTCACTAATGGTCCTTGATTATCACTCTACTGGGCCCTAATTGTTATCTTAATTGCATCGATCATTTTTACAGTCAAAATTATCTTTTGATGATGTTTCTGTCACCTCTGTAGTTACAGAGGTCGAGTTTAATGTTTGGGAATGGCTCAGAGTGCCCGGGCATAAAACCAAGGTGAAGTATAAATTCTCTACTGTTTGTATCTTTGATTAAACAAACTCTGAGGTACTATAAACAATAAATTGCAAACGTCTCATTCACCTTTGTTAACATAATACCGCCTAAATTTTTCTGCATATAAAGAGCTCATTCGAGAGATTTTTGGACATTGATTTTGAGGATTGATAGTGGATAGCAGTGGAATGTAGGATAAGCGTTTCATCCCGTTCGAGGCTGGACAGCTGTATGTACCTGCTTTGATGTATCTCTTCCAGTTATTAGCTCTTTTGCTTATTCCAGAGAGCTCATTGTGTCTCACAGTGTAGCTTTTGATGAAATCCTGAAGCTGTTAGGACAAACTGGTTCTAGCACATACAAACTTTCAAAATCTGTGACACTTATGAGAGAACGTTTGGTGGATATAATGTGAAATATTCGAACACATTGTAGTCTACAGATATGCGAAGGGTGGAACGTAATGATATGAGGGCATAGATATTTTGTCGGTGTTGTTCTTCAATGGTATGCCTCCTATGTTGTGTAACCAACTGGTGACCAGTCTTGAGATATAGTGCACAGTTGAAGGTGAGAACAGTAGGACAGTTTATCAAGTTAACAGCATATATCTCATTCGATGGAATTGAATCACAGATCGTTAAAGAAAGCTGGCGCTTCTTACAAATTGTAGTGGTGTTTGAACTGACATCATTTCCGAAGAAGAACAACCTATTCTTGAATTTCTGACATATTTGATTTAAGCATTGTGCTGAAAGCTGAACCTTTTGACCAGATATTATCTACATGTTGAAAATAAGCGAATAATGTTTGAATATGATGTAGTAAACAATTTGAATCGATGCGTGATACTATGGATTTCCGGCGCTAAACGTTTATTGACCTAGATTGACTCCTCCTATAGCTATGCTGTTTCCTGTGTGTAACAGTTTCAGTGATGTTGCAAACTTATTTAGCAGCCGGGAGCTGTATATCGACAACAACAACTTTCTAACTAATGGCACATGTAATGAAAGTGGCAGATTATGTTGGATCAGAAAACCAGCAATACTAAGCTTTATGGTATAGTAACATTCAATAAGCGTTGAACTACAGATGACAATTTTCCTCCCTGATAGATAACACTATGGTATCTCAAAACAATAGTTATCGGTTTTTAATCACATTGGAAACAGAAACATGCTGGATAGTGAGTTCGATTTCTGGAAGGTATGGAATACACCTTCAGGATTTCAGCCAATATTAGACGATTGTGTAATTGTTATCTGTAGAATTATATGCATGACTCCGACTGAGTATCCAAAAATGTTGGGCCTGTACTCCCTCCCTCCCTCCCTCACTCACTCACTCACTCACTCACTCACTCACTCACTCACTCACTCACTCACTCACTCACTCACTCACTCACTCACTCACTCACTCACTCACTCACTTACTTATTTACTTGCTCATACACTTATTTACTCGCCTAATCAGATGCAGTTATATCATTTTCATTAACGTAAGATATATGTGTGAAAGGTTTAAAGTTGTCTTATCACAGTGTTAGATTAAAACAGAGCAAAAACTTACGTGATCATAAACTGTATTCAAATGTTGGTATCAATAGACTTTATTCTAACATTATTCAATGTAGTCATCACTACCTTCTAATATATTGACAGAATGAACTTTTAGAACTCCTATGACGACCAAAAGTTTTCAAGTAGAAGAAATTTTTTACACTAAAAAAAATAATAATAATAACTCACTTCTAAATACATTTGTCCAGTAAATGCTGGTGAACCATTATCAACTGCATTCAATACAAAATGATAACTTCGTTTAGTCTCCCAGTCCAACTGTTTAGCTATCTTCAAGTACAATTGTTCAGGTCTGCTTTGATGATGATGATGATGAGGTAGTAATAAGGGTTGGTTGGTAGCTGGCGACGACGACGACGATGATGATGATAGTGAAGGATGGTAAACGAATGCATTCTTCTCTTTTCCATACGGTAAGTTATTATCATTATGATTAAGATCACGTACATAGTAATCAAGATTCGAGGATGCATACTGTACTTGATTGGAGGTAGATGATGTTAATGAAAGTTCAGGAAATTCACTGGATATCTGAATCAACTCAAATGTTTCATCACCTTGTGTAAGCAATTGATATCTGATAAACAAAGAAGATGGATATTTCTTTTTTAGACAAAACGTAGGTAAAACTTATATGAAAATCAAACTATAGCTAAGCATATTCTTCTTCTAGAAAGTTATTTAGATCAAAGTTAAGAAATATTTGACAGTAGAGTCAATTTACCGCCTAAGAAGCAGATAAGAAGCGTTTAGAAGGCTGAAAATACCACACCATAGCGACCAGGAATCAAACAACAAACTTGCACTTCCGGATATGCTTATCATTTGATGATTGCTTCCTAGAAGAACAGTTATAGATACAACTTCATGGAAAAAGTAAGCCTTGGAAACCAGAAGACGGATTATCTTACTTTACATAGAGAACATATCCGATATTACAACTAGATTACTGAAGCATGTTGCAATCGGTTTGGCTCACAAGCCTAAAAAATCTCTTCAAATTTTAATATGGAGGCCATAAAATGCAATGACAAAGGCAAACACAGTATACATTATCTATAAAATAAACTGCAGAAACTGTGAAAAACATGACATCGGACAATTTGGTTAGCCTGTTGGTATCCATCTTTATGAACATCAGGTAGCAGTGAAGCGTCACGATATATATTCGCTTATATCAATAGACACGGATAACCGTGAACGTGGATTCGACTGGAATAGAGGAGATACAAAGAAAGCCAGAGAATTTATACAATCTTAATATTCAGGTCAGTCATTGGCCCAATTTATCAACCAATAAAAAACAATGAGACAACCAATCAAAATAAATATAGAGACTACCAATCACACACAAGGTCATCTGGACAAGCTACTCAATAAATAGTAGAGTAAACCTAATAGCTCACTTCTTTTTGAAGTTTGCGTTGACAGTATTGTCTAGAATGACAATGAAAGCTCCTCATCCAGCTCAGAGAACAGAAGACCGTGGGAATCATCCTCTTGAACGACAAATATTCTTCGCCCTTTCAATATGAGAAACAAAAGTGCGCTTATTATTTTTAGAAAGTTTCATAGGAAAAGTATCTCCTGTTCTCAAATGCATTGACAACCTATTCTACTACAGTACCTCCCCCGGTTTGTCATCATCCCATCAATCTTATTGCAGAGACTATATTTGTAGCTATTAGATCTGGTAACAGTATATATTCAAGTAACTCTGTTGTCGAATATGATTACAGTATTGATTAACTTTCAGACTGAAATTTCTATTTGTGTGATGATCATATAGAATATAGACTTAGTTTTTCGTGTTAATTACTCCTAAGTCCACTACAAATTATACGGCTAGTTAGATAAAGGTTTTGAGAAAATGTATTGCCCTTGAGGCAATGTAAAAATTGGCTAAATTTGCCAAGGTGATTAGTTGCTTTGAATGTGCTACTTAGATGAAACATTAGTCAGAAATCAATATACAGAGAGTGTTTGTTGTTTTTTCAACGGAAATAACTGGTAGTCATACAAATGTAAATGTGTTGAACAAGTTAACAAGGGTACATTAGGTCTACAAGTCAAATGCCTTTAAAGCCAGGTGAAAATTAGTCAAAGATTACAGTCTAATATTAGAGTGATTGTTTATCAATATACCCGGTTTGTTAACCACACTTTCACTATACAAATCAGAGTTTTAATTATCTAGAAAAACACTTAAAGGTTAGCAGATAACGTGTCTCCCTAGTCGATTAAAAAAACTTAAAGTTTGATATATTTGCTTGAGGCTAAGACATTTCATCAGTGGTGTACTCAACCAAATTTAACTAACAGAGGTGAATTCTTGAGAGTAAGTGGGTCGGGTTAGCTTACTTGCACTGTGTGGTATGCCCTTTTTGATACCTTAGCTGGCGGTTGAATGTGTCTGAGCTTACTGGACTTCAAACAAGCGAATATTTCGTCTGGTGTTTAAATTACTCTAATCCGGCTACCTAGTGAAATCTACAGATCAACATGAAAACCTCTTAACTACTCAAGTAGTCCATTTGTATGTTTCGTAAACATAAGAGCAGTTATATGGTTCTAGTATGCTTTTCTCTTGAGACAAGTGCCTTCAATCGACAAGGATTGATGCGCTTAGTGACTGACTAGTGATTTACGAATAGCGTCAGTAAAACCACTTTCAAAATATTATTCATTTCCTAGTGAACATTTAGTGTTTTTTATTTGGACTAATAATATCCCATCAACTGGATGGTTTCAGATAATTCTGGTTAGCACGCCCATGACATAAAATTTAGTTCACTACAGAGTCTTGGAATTACCAATCTACGAAATCCAGTTACTAATCAGGTTCAAATTTAGTCCCAAGATGGAATGAAAGGAATCCAATTATGATTGGTGTAGGTATTGAATTTACGTGCGAAGGTGGTGAACAAAGTTAGACGAATCACCTTCTTGTCTAAAGTCAGTGATTTCCATCTACAGATAACATCAAGTTAATCATAATTGTAATAATGTTAAGGCAGCTGGATGCTCAGAAGTTATCTTGGGGAATTTGGGATACTTTTCTCAGAAGTACATATTTGATGAACGGTATACACTTTACGCTTTTCTAGTGTATGAAACGAAGCAATTTGACCGCGTTTTACATGATACTTATAGCCTGGTACTACTTGTTATCCTATGTCGCTGCCTTCACCATCATCATTAATATCAACATATGACCAGGCATTACTGCGTAACGGTCCGAGTTACCACACCTCATATCACTACATCAAGTAAAAAGGCAGTGAAATAGAAGATGTAGAGGAGAAAATCCAGTCAAGAGAAATATAAAGTACTAAAAGAGAGAAAGGAAGAGTGAGAAAGTGGTGAGATTCGCTACAGCGTCGTTAAGGCGAGGATAATGTATGTATACATCAGAGCCACTGACATTGGCTCAAACCAACAACCAAAGGCTTCATACATTGATGACATGTTTTACTCTGGCCACCTCGAGCCATTTTCCAGCCCGAACATACTTCGATCAATACTGTGTGACGAGGCAGATGGAGACTGGGCATATGTAACACACGTCCTAGCCAGCCATCTCAGTCCATGAAGGTTCACAACCGTTTTAACTGACTTACCTCCCCTCCCTACAACTTTACATCTGGGTCTAGCGTTACTCACGTGGTGACACCACGGAATACGGCCTATGGTAGGAGGGCAATGATGGTCAACCACCTAAAGCCAGCCTTCTCATGTCTTCCACTATCAATGGCGATTTTTCACAGTCATACAATAGAAGAGAGCGGACTGCTGCGCAGGTGCAGTACACGCCAACCTTAATAGATAATCGGAAACACGGCGGCGCAATAGGTGGGGTAAATTGGCAAAAGCCAGTCGACCTTTTTGTATCCGTGCAGAGATTTCATCGGCAACTGACCCACTAGTGAAGTGGTCAACACTCTCTATTGTTAGCCGCAGTGGTGCACCGTTGGAGACCAATCCTAGGACAAAGATTTGCATTTGGGTAATGAGAAACGCATGCCAAACACTCTCGAATTGCCACTCAAAATGTCCACAAGACTCTGCATCTTGTCAGTGTCTTCGCTTAACAGGACTATGTCATCTTTATATTCTAGGTTTAATGAAAATTTTCTACCGATTAGGTCAACGTTTGTGTAATCAGGTGACGACAGGGAGACCTCCATGAGGATGTCTGTGATAAAACTGGATAAGAATAGAGACAGTGGGCTGTCGCTGTCTTAAACTATTCCACTGCCTACTTTGTCGACGATGATACGATTTGATATCCTGCATACAGTGAAATTTTGGAGAAATTATTGCAACAAAGTCAATGATTCAAAATCAACAACGAACATGGTAGTATTTCGTGAGATTCTGTGTCGCCATACTTCATATTCCGCAGTTTCCAAAAGTCTTCAACTCTATCAAGGATTTCATCTCATGGAATTATTAACCGATTATTAACTGAATGGAATGTATATCGTGATTAAGAGTTACTTAACTACATAGACTTCTGTTGACATACGGGCTCCTGTGCAGATGCCTCAATATTACCTATGTTATGAGATCTTCTGCATTCCACTCAGCATAAAGCGTGAACAATATCCACATTTTCAACACCAACATCAGTCAAGTCAGTGCTTCTTGTGGTTGACAGACTTCGCGCGTTACGAAAGGGATTTCCAACAAATTACAGACATTCATCAACAAATTCCACTGACGCTGGCTCGATACTGACACTGAAGCTCAGATGGTGAGAACAATAAGAATAAGCAATAAGGAACTGACTCTGATTGGCGACGAAACAACCAAGAACCTATCACCCAACAAATAAATAGGAGGAGAACGTGAAGATGTATTGGATTGGGCATAAACTGAGAAGACCATTCAGAGAAATCACGCGCCAGGCCAGGTAATCTAGTGGAAGCCAGAGGGGAAACGATGAGTTGGGTGTCGAATGTGAGGGTGACATGGAGGAGCTTGTGTGAGGGAGAAATGAGAGGTTATGGGCAGTCGTGGTGCCAAGTTCAAAAGACTGCAGAGAAGAGAGCTTTCTGCTGACTGACTGTTAATATCTGAGCAGTAAGTTCATGTCTGTTAGCTGTCTAACCTTCTCTCGTATACACGCCTTGACTGCTACATAGATAAACGTTTGATTTAGATAGGAAGTGCCTTAAATAGAAAGCAATATTTTAACTCATCAACAGATTAGGTGGAAGTTTTTTTAACTTTAGTTTCTGTCTCATGTGCGGTCAGGAATTACCTTATAGGACAATTTCGTCTTGTAGTTGACCAATCAGAATAAGCTATTTATCTTTTGACCTTGTGATTTCACATGTTTTTTATAACTGAATATAAATGATACATTTTGTCGAATAAAGTATCTTTCTTACTGTCGGATGGATAATCTTTATCTGCATATATTTTGGTCTCTCAGTGAAGTATAAGGTACAGTCAATATTGGTATGTATGTAAAAATCCATGGAATTACACAGTTAAATGTTCCTAATGAAGTTTCAAGGTCTCCAGAAAAACAAGATAACTCTACATTCTACTTATACTAGAAGTTTCATC